TCATACTGAACAGTAACAAAATCCACTGCATTTTAATTCTTTTCCAGAATTAAATAGTAAAAAATGTCCTGATAAGCCATATTCTACTTCTGATTGGCTACAACCAGATACTAATTGTTGAACCATGGCAATCACTCTCTAATTGCATGTGCACATTCTCGCTCAAGTCTTTGCCTCAAGAACCTCTAACCAAAATGTAGAACAAGAGAGTAACATATTTCCTTTAAAAGCCTGTCTTTCCCCACATTAAAAACATCAGTATGATTAATTGTTACTGAGAGGTAAAAATTACCCTGTTAAATGGGACTTCCTCATCTCCATACATCAACCATAGACTATGTTCTTACTGTCTGGCACCGGATAGCGACAGCGGCCTTTAAAATGGTAATGCAGGCTCTAATTTAAATGAATTCCTAATAAAAAAGTAAGATGCTTATGTAGCCATCTCTAGGGCATCTTTCTCAGGGCACTCACAAAAATCAATTCCTTAATGGAAGTGGGTTTAGTGCAGATGGAACAGAATTGTATTTATTACCTTTGGGGATAGTTTGCGGTGAATGCTGACAGGTGACTATGTAGTAAGGATTGTCTTTTCATTAGATTGCACTGTACCGCTAACCTGAATGAAAAGCATGGAGCTGAGCTGTAGTTTATTCGATTGTGCAACTCTGTGGCATGTGTGCCACAAGTGGTACAGGCAGCCTGTGTGTGTGGCTTGTGGCAGATCAGACAGGGAACGCAGGGCAGGGGGCAGAAGGCAGAGCAAGGGGGTCCCACTGGCACATGGGGAGGGCACAAGCTTAATTTGTGGCATGCCTGCCAAAAAGGTTGTCTCCAGCTGTTTAAAACAAAGATGCAGCCAACAGTGCTGGCTGCACTTAGAATCACAGACTTGCTCTGAAATTCCCCTCTGCTACTTTTAGCTTCATTCATTTTAGGAGTTTCGTCTGCGGTGTTTTAAGGTTATTATGTGGTATTGAGATGGTCCAGTCATGTGGGAGAAGCAAAGCCAGGCAGGTGAGTTACAAGCTTTTCCTGGACCAACTAGGGCAGCTGAAGGAGATGAAAACAGCTTTTGGGCTTCAAGCACCTTTCCACAGGGCTGTATTAGCAGTCACAGTCCAAGGTAGGTGCACGCTAGAACAACTGCTGCTGTGAGGTGTGCCTCCTTTTTTTTCTTCATGTTGTGAAGTCCCCATAACTCTCAAGGTAAATTAGAGCATTTTTTGCAGTTAATTTTCTCTCTCCCTTGCCTAACTGGGTTACAGTTTCCCACTGCAAAATCCAGACCTTGGAGACACTGAAACCTTTGTCTGTGTGGATCTCACTCCTTCTACATGTCTACCCTAGCTGATTTCTCCTTGCTTTTAAACCGTATCTGACAACATCCCTGCAGCACAAATGTCTTTAGTCGAACAACCAGTCTGTTCTTTAAATCTTATGTAGCTGCTCTGTGATTCTTCAACTGTGAGTGCGGTGCCAGTGCACTGGCATGAAAAGATAGTCTTACAAATAAAAGTCTTTATCTGCCTCAGCTCCTCGTGTAACTCGTGTGGAGCTTCTTGTCATCGTCCTTTATCTCAACTGTCCCTCGTCCGCAGCAGTTCTGATACTGGTGACTACAGGATTCATAGGAAAGTAGGGCTAAAAGGGATCTCCAAAGGTCATCTAGCTCAACTCCCTGCATGAGGCAGGATCATCCCTACTTACAGACAAATCAATTATCTAACATCTTGGCAAAACTACACAGCCAGTCATGACACAGTCTCAAGATGTAATAAGCTAACCTGCCATAGGTAAACCCGGGGGACTGCAGGCAACATCCCTAGGCCCCAAAGGCTGTTAAAAGATCCAAGGAGGAGGACCACACCTATAGAGGAAGGCAAAACCCCCCATCTCTGCACCAACCACCTTTACCTCAAATATGGTGGAAAAAAGCCAGGAACATCTTTGTTTTCTAAGGGTGGCAGGAGCACTGTATGGTCAAACCCAAGCCTTAGCTAAGGACACTCTGTAGCGATTCAAGGAAGAGGAAAAAAACAAATTCCAGTAACGCATTCATGAAAGGAAAATATTCTCTCTGGCTCAGGTTACTAGTGAAAGACTGCATGGGAATTGCTAGGAACCTATGACACTGTGAAGGAGTTGCATCAGTACTCCAGCATAGGGATTATACGTTCCTTTGAGTACTTTACAAATTCACACGAGTATCCAAAGCACATTCTTGATGCTTCAAACACCTAACTGCTCCCTAAACTCTTACTTGGCCACTGCAGTAGTGACTGCTTACATTTCCCGCAGCCTCGTTTTATTCTCAGTCTCCTTTCCTACATATTTCCAATATATCTGCGGGCTGAGGGGACCCACACACACAGCCTAGCTTGGTTATGGGACAAAGAGCTTGGTCATGGGGAGCCAGTTTTTCTGGCTTGGTCATGGGAAAAGCTACAGTGCATGTCCCTTTTGGTTTTAAATTGCTCTTTGTGACTGTCTTTGTTCAGGAATAGGTTTCATTTCTTGTCAGGTGTTTCCTTAGTGTCCAGGTATTTCCCTGTGGAAGGATGACAGTCTGGATATCTGCTAGAGCTGTGCAAAATTTCACCAGGTGTTTTGTTTCAACACTATTTCAACTTGTTTCAAGCTTGAAACAGTGAAATTGAAATGAAACAAAAGGTTTCGAAACAGCCTTGAAATGAAACGAGGGCACTCGAAACGTTTCGGAAGTTTCAAAACATTTTGAGTTTTGAAGCTGGGCTTGCTCGCAGCTAGAGAGAGAGGGTGAAGAGTAGGGAAGGACTGCTCTCATATGGACTGTGTACTGTGATCCTTCCCTGAGGTCCCTGCCAATCCCAGTGCTCTGGGGAAGGGATAGAAAAACAGCATAAAGAGCAGTATTGTTTGAACTGAACTTTCTCTGTGTCTTCACACTTACAAGTGACATGAGTTTTGCTCTGAACAGTTTGAGGTGCAGTTTCCCAGAAACCCCTATACTTATATCCTTGAAACCTGGCAAGCTTTGTGGCCTCAGCAGGGGCTACCATCCCTGCTGTTTTCATTCGAATCAGGCAAGAAATGACAAAGTTATAGGCATTTTCATGTTTCCCTATTATAGCCTATGGGCAAAACGTCAAAATAGCATCAAAACAGCAAAACAGTTTTGACAAAATGAAATGGAGCAGTGCTTTGAAACAGCAAAATGAAACACTGTCCCTTCAAAATGGTGAAACGGAAGTCGAAACGAAATGGCGCTGTTTTGCACAGTCCTATCTGCTGCATATTTTGGTTCTTATAGCTGTCAGTTAGTAAGAACCAAGATATCCAGTAAGAACCAAGAACAGAGCCCTGGAACATATTTGTAGGGATTACCCTCACTAGGGGAGCTGGAAAGTTTGGGATTTACCTCCAAAATGCTCTTAATGGATGAGGATGGTTTAGCTGAGAGTTCAATGGGCTGATGAGGATTGACTCTGCTTGCTTGTGGAGATCTGGTGTTGTGGGATAAGGTGGCTTCTGACTGAGCAGCAGCTTGTGGAATGGGAAGAATTGGGACAGCTTTCCTTTGGTGCTTCCAGTTAGGAACCTCTTTACCTTTACCTGACCAGTCTTTGTCACGATTTGGAAGGGGTAACAACTGGGAGAAAAGAGTTCAGTAGGACAGCCCCCATCAACCCTTGAAATATCTATCCCATAAGCAGAGAAGGGAAATTGTTGTCACTTGCCCCAGAATGAGTTTTCCTAACTTAGGCTGCCATGTGTAAGGCAGGAATACTGAGCTACTCTGTCAGCACTGCTACAGGCAAAAAAATCAAAAGCCTCAGAAGAGGTGTGGCCAAGCCCTTAAACCTCGTGAGCAGGGCCTTGCCTTTTTTGTTTTGTTTTGTTTTAACAGAAAATTAGGCATAGTTGAAACAGACAAATAGAGAAGTTAGGGTCCTACAAATAAAACTATTTTACACCCGTATGGGTTAAATCATTCGAGTTGCAGCTGACATGAGCCTAGCTGAAGGAACTAAACAGGCACACCACAGCAGTTAGAGTCAGCTAGGAGAGCTGCCAAAGACTGCAAAGTGAGATTAGAGACATCGAAGGCTCACAGGAGGTGGCCGTCTGCACGGAAGGAAAACACGCAACACACAGACGGAGCAGACAGACATGAGAACCAAGCAGGTAAAAGACATGGATGAATGGAGGAAGTCTAAGAAAGCAGAGCAGAAATGAACAGAACAAGTAGAGACCCCAGTACATTTTAAAATGTAGCAACAGATTTTCCCTCAAAATCATGAAGAGATATTCAAAAGGGAAACTATTATTTTAAATCATGTTTTGAGGAAAAAATCTGTAACATGGCTGCCCTAGCATGGGTGACGTCCATTTTCTCAGTACAAATTTGATACTTCTTTCCAGAACATTGCATCTCTACTCCACAGGCCTTTACTCTTAATGCCTACAAGAATATCAGCAGCATCCTTGTAATCGGTCTGCTATTACAACAGACCCTTGACCCTATATCATTACAAACACTTCTTTGGCTCATTCTTTTCCCTCCACAACCACGCCTAAACATTTTTCCCCTCTCTCATATATGCTAGTTATATTTGCAATACTTCTGTACTCAGAGATGCTAGCTACTGAGGCATGTTTTCCTGAACTGTCTGTAGCACTCTTCAGCTGAGCCATGTTGCTGGGAACCAGCTGTCAAACAGAAGTAGTCTGCTGCCTTTACAGCATCAAAACGCCTTAAGTCAGGAGATGTAAAAAAGTCTGTTGCGTATCTAGGAGAATTAACTGTAATACACTGAAGCCTACAGCACTGAACAAAATTATAACCACTAGGATTTTAAGGAAATGATTGCTTACAAAGGTATGCCTTCTCTCTGGCTTTTACTCTAAAGTATACCACTATAAGATCAGACTTGTAATTCTTCCAAATCCAAATCCACCAGTAGATACACTATATATACACAAGACTAAGAGACAGACAGACAGACACATAGTGCAGTACAAAAAATTTATTGACATTAATTTGGGATAACTGCCTTACATATAGTGGTGAAGTGTCAGGATAGATTTATGTAGCTCCTACCCCTTCCAAAGAAATCAAACTTGAGAAAAACAGCCTCTTTACCACTTAGTACTGAGATCTGATGTTAAGAAAGCCGTGTATCCTACTCTTCCTACTAGATAATAAGGTATCAAAACAGTGATTGTATCCACACAATTACTATTCACAAGTATAAATTGTGGCAACCATAAATATTTTCTTCACATACACAGTCCCCCCCCATGGGAAAATAATATAAACTTGTAGTGGAATAAAAAATATTTCATGTTAACTGTGATTTCAAATGCTATTTCAGCAATTACATATTAAATCCACTATAAAAATTGGTAATTACATAGTAACATGTTATTGCTGCTACATTATCACTGTATAACCATGTAATTAAGTTTGTGCTGTAATTTCTTTATAGTACAATTTGAAAAAACACTGAAAAAACACTGGTATTTTTGTAAAACATCATTATTTCCTGGATTTCTTTTTTAAAACATTAAAAGTTTTCCATTATACATTAAAAACTCAATTACAAGAACACATTTTCTTCAGTTATCAAAAATGGGAGTTTGTGAGAAATAACTTATTGCATTATAATTTGTCTCCATTTTTCCTTTTCTAAATGTAGGAGCTGTAATGCAAACTCAGAACTTTTAAGATACGTGGAACTTAAGAGAAATGTGAGAGAAATGGAATCACACGTCGGCAGGCAGACTGTGGGGTAATCAAATTTAATCAATTTAATATGGCTTGTAGCTGAAAGCAACTGATCTGCATGTCCAGTCATTTTGATTATTGCCACATTCCATTCATTTTTCAAGAAGTGAAGATAAAAACCTGTTCTGTCTTTTAAAAACGCAAATACATTAGTTTTAAGCCAGAACTGTACGCATTGTGCAACTCATTTGTATGCAATGTAACACATGAACTTGATAGAATATATTTATGTACAACATATACACAGAATTTTGTGGTAATTCTCCTAAATATAATCATTTAAACAATAGCAATTTTCATATTAAAAAAAACACTCATGAAACTGGCAGAACAGCCCACTGGTGAACTTAAATCAATACAGATTCAAACAATAAAATCTTTTCCTTATAAACAGCTGATTTACATACAAATTAAACTGTGGTCCCGTACACACATTAATTACAAGGTAAAAGTTTTGTTTTAAAAACTATTTACATGTTCTTGTACTTTATGATGGAGATTACGTGAACATTGAAAAAAATTGGATGGTAGGCAGGTCTTTTTGTTAGATTTTTGATTTGTTGTTCTTTTTGTGCAGGTTCCAAATCTCTCCATTTGAGTTGCTATGGTTGAGCTCTATTTGCCTTGTATTACTGCTGCTGCTTCTTTTAGTGTTCTGAGAAGACTGGGTGACCTTACTTCTGGGTACAGGAAGAAAAGATTTAACTCTTGAAACACCCAACTCAGTCTTTGATTTACTGTTGCTGCATTCCACAGTTCGACTGCTGCTGAGAGGACAGGCCCCATCCTGTGAATGAGAGAAACAATCTCACTTTGATAAACACATTCATTCACAGGGAGAACCCGAAAGACCCAAAAATCTGCCAGCCAAATTTCCAAAAAGCTGTAGCTGTTCACAGCTGTGTGAAGCTTCTTTTTGGAAGGTGGCAGTGTTCTTAAAAAAAAAAAAAGCCCCTAGTGTTAAGACTGTTGTTTTCATAGCATGGAAGGGCTCTCCACAGGTCATCAAGTCCATCCACCTTCCTGAGGCAGGATCATCCCTATCCAAACCCTATTGCTAACCAGGCAGTAAAACAAACTCCTAGAAAATGGCAGGTATCCAGGTTGTAGTTGTATTGGTCTAGAGGCAAAAGGAATAAAAATTAAACTTGTGGAAGAGATGATGGCAGGGCACTGAATAAGCAACCCAAGACATGGCATAAGCAGCAGGAAAATTAGGAGACTAATATTTCTGGGGCACAGTAAGTGTCTGAACTAGACTCCAGGATTAACACAGCTGTGAGTGACAGAGCTGCTGTTTTAGAGGGTATTTGCACTGAGCACAGTAAATGGTTCAGACCGACAAGAAGAGACTAGTCACTCTCACCGTTTAATATATGTTTGCAAAGTACTGGCAGCAAGTCTCTTGTGGCACTTCTGTAGCCAGGGTCGGATACATCAAATCTGAAAGAGCTGCAGGCTCATATCATTACTATATACAAGCATTTCATTGTAAAACTGCCTAGTGCCATGTGTTGAAAAGTGCTAATCCCAGAGCAAACTGGATTCTGCCCAGACAGGCCATGCACCAGTCAAGTGTTGAACCTTGCTCAGTATATCAAAGACAGCTTTGAAAAGGATTTGGTAGCTTGTGCTGTGTTTGCTGACTTGTCAACAGCATAAAATATAATGAATCACCAGAGGCTCCTCACAAAAATACACAATGTGATAAAACATCTCCACTTACATGCCGGATACAAATACTCTCACTAGGGAACTGACAATTTTAGATTGAACTATATAGGAAATGGAGCCAGTGGTGGTGACAACAAATAGCCTACTATACAAAAGGGGACTACTCTTAAACACCTACATTAAATCCCAACCAATTCATTCCAGCACAAGAAATTCTTTTTGTCAGCAATCAATGCATTGCTGAGTAAACCAAGGATCTTGACTAGAACAACGCCACACTAATTAATAATACTCTCTGGGTTCTCAGTCTAACTCAGAACCAGTTACATAATAACTTAAGATACAAGTGAGTCTTTTCCATTTCTGGAACTATGATGCCAACAGACAACTTGATGCTGTCAGGAATGAGGCACCACTTGCCAATCGCTGGAATCCTGTTCATCTTGAGGGGAGCCTAGATTACAGGCTCTCTTCAAAGGCACACACAAGAGGAGACAACAAAAAGGCAAACCTAGTGATTGGAACCAGATGGGGAGAAACAGCACAGGCTCACACAGAGAAACTGGATCTTGTGCTGAATGATAGCTGTCACTGTACTGTGGGATGTCTAAAACCAACAAGTGTTAACAGCCTGTATGTGCTTAGGCAATTGTTCCGCTAGACTTGAAGAGGGCGGTCACAAGCAACATGGAATGATACCGACAGGCTGAAGATACTAGACATGGCTAAACTGCAGCCTGGAATGACATGAAAAACTTTCTAGCTGCAACAGAACTGCTTAAAAGAAATCACCTACAACTAGACAACTGGAGATATGGGCTGCACAGCTTGATGCACTCAACAAGGAAGTGAAAATGCACACTGACATCATCAACCATGTTCCCACAGGTGCAAAGAACTGGTCAACCTGGAGAGGTTTAAATGGCATGAACCTGAGTTGACAGGTCAAGAGAGAAAAAGAGGAGGTGCTACTAACAACCATGGTACATTTCCCTGGAAATATGGAAAATATGTGGAGTGTAGCAGGAAGCTGCTTTCATGCTATGTGATATCAACAAACTAGCAAGTTTACATCTACTAAAAAAAATACATGAGGCAGTATCTGTTAAAATTAAAATTTCAAAGCAACAGGCCTGGATAACTCTTACCCAAGAGTCCTAAAGTAACTAGCTGAGGAGTTCTTTGGATCACTGTTAAGCCCTTCAACAAATTTTGGAAAACTGGGAAAACTCTAAGTGACCAGTAGTGTAGTTCTAGTACTTAAAAATATAAAAAATACCCAGGGAACAGGCTTACTAGCTTAGTATCAGTCCCAGGTAAAACAACAGAGCAGTTTCGTGGAAGGGAGGTCTTGTTAGATTAACCTGTTGTCCTTTTGATTTTTTTGATAAGGTTACAGTTGCTTTGATCAGTCCTGTTTTGATATAATGCATACCTGGACTTCTCCAAGGCCAAGCTAAAAACCTGCATTATATGTAATTAACAGAAATTATATTATTATAACCAAATATTATATAACCAAAGAGGTTGGTTTGCCAGCTTCTGAAAGGACCAGACATGTTGGAAAAATCTCTGTAGAACAGTGGTGCTCAGTGTTTTTGCCCTGTGGCTTGTTTGGGCGGGTCCCTCTGCAGGCTGGATCTGTCTGGTGGGCCTGATCCAGCCTCACAGTTTAGCGTTCCACATTGTAAAAAGGATGTGGAGAAGTCAGAGAGAGCCCAGACAGGAAATAAAGATGATAAAAGGCTCGGAAGGCAAATCATATGAGGAGAGGGTGAAGGAGCTACATGTTCACCTTGCAGAAAAGGCACTTAAGGGGAGACATGATAGCAGTCTTCAAATACATAAAAAGGGGGAAAGCACCTTTTCTCTTGCTGTGGGGAAGAGGATGCAGACCAATGGCTTAAAATTACAGCAAAGTAAGTTTTGATTGGATATCCAGAAAAAAGTCTTTACTGTTAGAATAGTGAGGCAGTGGAATCGCCTGCCTAGGGGAATTGCGGGCTCCCCATCAGTGGAGGTGTTCAAGAAGAGGTTGGACAGCCACTGGTTGAAGATCATCTAGGCCAGGGGTTGGCAACCCCCGGCATTTTGCTTGGCACGCCATGGCCAGCCCCAGCTCTGGGTAGCTGCTGCCAGTGACGGAGCCCGGGCTGCGCCCAGCAGGGCTTGCAGCATCCCAGCTGCCTGCTGGGCAGCGCTACTCTACTGTCTGCCCCAAGGTGCGCGCACAGTTGCCGCCAGCATGGAGCTGATGCTGGAGCTGTGGAGCCGGGTGCAGCTGTTTGCAGCCTGCCTGCTGCTTGCTGCAGCTGCCCAGAGCCCCTGTGCCGGGCTCTGGACCCCAGTCACCAGCTCTGTGCTGGGAGCAGGGGAGAGACCAGGGCTGCGCTGCCTCAGGCCCCTTCCCCACTGCCCACTCTGACGTACAGGTGCAGGCGCTGGTACAGAGTTGATGCTGGGGCTAGGGAGCCTGGTGCAGCTGTTTGCAGCCTCCCA